TAGGCTACAAACCAGTACAGCATATTACTCCATTGAATATTCAGGTAACTGTAACATAGCAATAAGTATTTGTGTGTCTAAACATATCTAAACAGAGAAAAGGTAATGTGTGAATCTATGACATTAGAGTAGCTATGATGTCACTAGGTAACAGATATTTTCAGCTCCATTATAATCTTATAGGACCAGCAAAGAATATGTGGTCTGTTATTGATCAAAATATCATTATGTGGTGCACACTGTAACTGATATGCTAAGAAAGAGGAGAAAATGGTGGCTGGGCACAGTGGCTCACACCTGTAATCCTTTGGGAGGCCAAGGTGAGTACATCACCTGTGCTCAGGAGTTACAGACCAGGCTGACCAAGTTTCTCTTGATTTTTTTCTAAAATAAATCGGGCATTGAGGTAGATGCCTGTAGTTCTCGTTACTCAGGAGGCTGAAGTAAGAAGAATGCTCAAACCCAGGAGTTTGAGGTTGTTGTGAGCCATGACACCACAGCGCTCTACCCAGGGCAGCAAAGTAAGACTTCGTTTCAAAAATAAGAAGAACGAAAGGGAAGGGAAAGGAAAGGAAGGGGAGGGGAGGGAAAGGGGAAAGAAGGAAAGGAAAGGAAGGAAAGGAAGAAAGAAAAGAAAAGAAAGAGGAGAAAATGGAACGATAAAAAGGTCAATTAAAACCATGAAATCACGTGATATGTACCTGTATTCACAGCTACTCAGGAGGCTGAAGTGGGAGGACTGCTTGAGCCTAAGAATTCAAGGCCAGCCTGGGTAACACAGTGAGATCTTGTCTTAAAAAAAATAAAAACAAAGGCTGGGCAGATGGCCCATGCCCGTAATCCTAGCACTCTGGGAGGCCAAGGTGGGGAGACTGCCTGGGCTCAGGAATTGGAGGCCAGCCTGAGCAAGAGTGAGACCCCCATCTCTATTAAAACTAGCCAGGCATTGTGACGGGTGCCTACTAAGGAGGCTGAGGCAGGAAGATCAGTTGATCCCAGGAGTGTGAGGGCGCTGTGAGCTAGGAAGCCACAGGGTGACAGAGTGAAACTCTGTCACAAACAAAACAAAGCAAAATAAAACAGGGCGGTGCCTGTGGCTTAAAGGAGTAGGGCACCAGCCCCATATGCTAGATAGAGGTGGCGGGTTCAAACCCAGCCCAGGCCAAAAACCGCAAAAAAAACAAACAAACAAACAAACAAACAAAAAAAACCAAACAAAAACAAATACACACACACACACAAATAAAACCAAAACAAGAAAAGCAGAAAAAAATATGGACGACAAATATAGGAACAATGAACAAGGGGAACAAATAGAAAATAGTAAGAAATACAGTGGATATTAATTGAACTGTATTAACAGTCACTTTATTTATTTATTTATTTAGAGACAGAGTCTCGTTATGTTGCCCTCGGTAGAGTACTGTGGCATCACAGCTCACAGCAACCTCAAACCCTTGGGCTTAAGTGATTCTCTTGCCTCCACCTCCCAAGTAGCTGGGACCACAGGCACTCACCACAATACCTGACTATATTTTGTTGCAGTTGTCATTGTTGTTTAACTGGCCTGGGCTGAGATGGAACCTGCCAGCCTTGGTGCAAGTGGTGGTGCCCTAACCACTGTCCTACAGGCACAGAGCCTAACTAGTCACTTTAAATGTGTGTATAAAAAACATAGAGGAGGCTCGGTGCCTGTGGCTCAAGAGGCCAAGGCACTAGCCACATACACCTGAGCTGGCGGGTTTAAATCTAGCCCAGGCTCGCCAAACAACAATGATGGCTGCAACCAAAAAATAGCCAGGTGTTGTGGCGGGCGCCTGTAGTCCCAGCTACTTGGGAGATGGAGGCAAGAGACTGGCTTGAGCCTAGGAGTTGGAGGTTACTGTGAGCTGTGATGCCACAGCACTCTACCCAGGGGGACACCTTGAGGCTCTGTCTCAAAAAAACAAAACAAAACAAAACATAAAGGGATTGGGAAAGATATATTAACTCTACAGAAAGTGGGACTAGCTGTATTTCAGATACAGAAGACTTCAGAGCAAAGGAAGTTAACAGGGAAAAAGAAGGATATTACACAAGGATAAAGAGGTCAATACTCTAGTAATTTTAACATGTATGCATCTAACAACTCAGTAAAATACATGCAGCAAAAAACTGAGAACTGTAAGGAGAAACAGATTAATCTGCTATTGTAGCTGGAGATTTTAACACCTATCCATTAGACATAGACAGATCGAGCAGGCAAAAAAGGAGTAAGGACAGTCGAATTCAACAGCACCATCATCAACTGGATACACGTGTCATCTATAGACAATTTTATCCAACAGCAGCAGAACACGTTCAGAAGCATGAAAGGTACATTCACCAAGACAGACCACATTTTGGGACATAAACCACACTTTACTTTAAAAAGAATAAAAACCATACAGTGTCTGCTCTTAGTATATAAGATAGATATATAAGTAACACATGGGTAAGGAATATCAGGAAAAATTTAAAAATATTTTAAACTAAATAAGAATACAACCTCCAGACTTTGTGAGATGCAGTTAAAGCAGTGCTCAGATCAAGTAACTTACAAAGAAAACCTAAAACCCATCAGACTAGCAGAAACCTTCTCAGCAGAAACCCTCCCAGCCAAAGAGGATTTGGGGTTCCATTTTTAGTCTTCTTAAACAGAACATCTGTCAGCCATGAATGTTACCTGCAAAACTAACTCATAAATAAGGAGAAATAAAATCTTTCCTCGACAAACAAACTCTAGGAGAATCTGTCACCATTAGAACTTCCCTACAAGAAATGCTCAAAAGTGCTGCAAACATCAAAAAGAGTGATCGATAATCACCAGTGTAAAAACAATGCAGGGTAAAAGCTCACAGCTCTCCTAAAATACTATCATAAGGGATAACACGATGCCTAGAATAGGATCTCACTCATCAAAATTAACACTGAATGTGAATTCAATGCCCAAATTAAAAGATGTAGAGTGGCTCAGTGCCTGTACTCAGTGGTTAGGGCACCAGCTACATATACCGGGGCTGGCGGGTTTGAACCCGGCCTGGGCCTACTACACAACAATGACAACAACAATAGCCAGGCATTGTGGCGGGCGCCTGTAGTCCCAGCTACTTGGGAGGCTGAGGCATGAGAATCTCTTAAGCCCAGGAGTTTGAGTTTGCTGTGAGCAGTGATGCCATAGCACTCTACTGAGGGTGACATAGTGAGACTCTGTCTCAAAAAAAAAAAAAAAAGATGTAGAGTGGACAGAATGGATTTAAAAAATCCTACAACCCAAATATCTGCTGTGTTTGAAAAAGGTGTTTAAATCATACAGAGTTGCGTAGACTCGATGTAGAGCAAAGGCAATGGCACGAAGACAGGCTTTTCAACAAATGGTACAGGGACAACTTGACGTCCACGGCAAAAAAAGAAATCTAGACATAGACTTTACAACTCTCACAAAAACTAACTCAAAATGAACAAAAGCCCTAAGTTTAACACACAATACTATAAAACTCTAAGAAGATGACAGGAGAAAACTTGAGAAAACTTTGGGTATGTCAATGACTTTTTATAGACAACATCAAAAGCAGGACCCATGAAAGAAACAACTGAAAAGCTGGACTTGGTCAACGTCAGCAGAACAAGACCAACCACAAACTGAGAGTGTTTGCAAAGGCACATCTTTTGTTAATCAAAATATAGGAAGAATGCTTAAAACTCAAAACTAAGTAAACAAACAACCTGATCAGAAACAGGTAAATGACCTGAACACACACTTCATCAAAGAAGATACAGACAGAAAGGAAGTATATGAAAGAAAATGTTTGACATTACATGTCCTTAGGGAAATACAAATTGAGACACCAACAAAATACCAAAATGCTCAGATCTCAAACACTGTGCCCCCCAAGCATCCAAGGCTGCTGAGGGTTTGGACACAGGGACTCTCACTCACCGCTGGGTGCATGCAAACGGAGCAGCCAGTCTGGAAGACAGCGGGGCAGCTTCTTCTAAAACTATACATCTCTTTTTTTTGAGACAGAGCCTCAAGCTATCACCCTGGGTAGAGTGCCATGGCATCACAGCTCACAGCAACCTCCAACTCCTGGGCTCAAGCGAGTCTCCTGCCTCAGCCTCCCAAGTAGCTGGGAC